AACAAAAAACAAGGTTCACAGGTTTACATTGAAACAAAAATATAAAATAAATAGTATGTGTGTGTTTTTCAGACAATCAAATGTTCAGGTATCAAAGTATTGATAAGATACACTGTAAAGTTTTTATTTCAACCATTAAGTGTTAATGTACCAAAATCGGGAGACTTTTTTAAAATTCTAGTCCTTCAGATAAAAAGAAAAAACAATGTCCATACATTTTTACACTGAAACAACGAAATAAAACAGATGTTTTTCAGACAATGTACACTGTATCAAAGTATTAACATGTATATGGATTTTTCCCCATCTAGTCCTTCAGATAGGACAAAAAGTAGAAATGAAATGAAATGAAATGAAATGGGATTTAACGTCCTACTGTTCTGCTCCTATACTGGGCTAATGAAGACGGGCATACGCCAAACAGTGTGCTATGAGGGAAATTTTGCCCGGGCAGCGGCACTATCGCCTGCTCTTATATCGAATTCCAACTGCCAAGTGATCTTTTACGTGCATTCCAATGTATACACGGGACCTCGTTTTTTTGTCTCATCCGAAGGACTAGACAGCTGTCCTTGTCAGGCCCTCCGTCCTGCATCACTGACAAGGGGGGACCACGCGGAAAGTAGAGATTCTCACGTTGAAACAAAGATAGAAACGTATGTTTTTTCAGACAATCAAAATAAATGTTAATGTATGAAAGTATTGACATACATGTATATAGATTTATTCCATCTAGTCCTTCAGATAGGACAAAAAACAAGGTTCACAGGTTTACATTGAAACAAAGATATAAAATCGAAATGTATGTTTTTCAGACCATCAAAAATGTGAGTTTAAATTTCGATCATCAAGTATTGCTTGAAAACGTTGAGAGAATACTCTTCAAAACGTCGCCCAAATAAATCAGTAATTGTTCTTCCATAAGTATGTGTTATAGTTTATCAAGTATTAATGTATCAAAATATCTATATAACTGGAGAATTTCTTAAAATTCTAGTCCTTCAGATAGGACAAAAAAAGAGGTTCTCGCGTTGAAACAAAGATATAAAATAGATACATATGTTTTTTCAGTTGATGGAGTGTTAATGTATCAAGGTAAAAGATTAGTTAGAGTATTATTTTATCATATCAAGTTTCTGTCTCCACCTTGCCAGCTATTTTATACCCCATTTACACTCACATATTATAACACATCTTAACGCCCAGTTATAATCTTCTATCTAATATATCATTTATAACACACCTGATTCTAACAGAGAGAGAGAGAGAGGTGGGGTTTAACGTCCACTTGATACATACTAGGTCATTTCGGGACTAACATATGGTTCAATTATATTTCAATAATTCACTTGCATGTAGGAGTGTTGAACAGTGGGAGGAAACCAGAGGACCCAGAGAAAACCCACGAGGTTGATCAGACGAAGTGGGGAATCGAAACCATGCCACTTGATTCAATGACAGATTTCAATATGGTTTCACGCACACGTTAAACCACCAGACCATCCAAAGATTTCATCCACCCCCCACCCCACCCTCTCTACTGAAAGAAGAGTACACAGTTACCATTGAAATCAAATGTATCACATGTTAGTCTCAAATAAAATAAAACCAAGTACGAACAATCCAAACCATAAGACAGAATTCGAAGTCCTAAAAAACGTTATTGGCAAAATAGTGTATTCGAGTGTAATAGTGTAATCAGCAAATGGACTGCTCCTCGTGTACAAAATACACGACAAACAGTGGTAACAGGTGTCCGGAAGAGTAAGCTTACCCTGCCTGGCACCACACCCGCCATAGCTGCATCCAAACTATTAGGCGAAATGTCGGTAAAATAGCGTGATTGGCCAATGAACTATCGGTATGCAAAATGCACGCGATGAAATGTGTTAATGATGTAGTAGACATTATCAGGGAGACAGTAATAGTATACGTGTCAATTAAATATATCTAGAATAATAGCCGAGAGAGACACGTTATATTTACCAATCAAATCAATATGATGGCCATAAAACTTTTTAAAGGTTTTAATAAGTTTAGTGCGCAAGTATCCTTGTAGTTGAAGCTTAGATGACAAATGCCTCGATCTACTTAAAAAATCAGAATAAAAGCAACAAGCTCTAGCGTAACGAATTAGCTGAGATACAAACACACCATAAGCTGGTGATATTGGAATGTTACTACTAATAAATGGAAAGTTAACAATCGGAAAGTCAAAGTCATCACGTTTATCGTACAAATGACTCAAGGGTCGTGTTGATGAGACGTTAAACACCGTTCCATTCCATTCTTTAATATGATTTTAATCGCATGACCTCTTTTATTAGACCCTCACAGCCAGACGTTATTTGAGGTGCCGTGTTAAATACATCTAAATATAAGTTTTTGTGTGAGCTATACACTACATGTATAACTATATATGAGTTACAGACTATAACAGTTAAACTATGTAAATATGTTTATATATGAGTTATAGACTGTTAAACTATGGATAAATATGTTTATATATGACTTATACACTATAACAGTTGAACTATGTAAATATGTTTATATATGATTTATACACTATAACAGTTAAACTATGTGTATAAATATGTTTATATATGAGTTATAGACTATAACAATTAAACTATGTGTAAATATGTTTATATATGAGTTATAGACTATAACAATTAAACTATGTATAAATATGTTTATATATGAGTTATAGACTATAACAATTAAACTATGTATAAATATGTTTATATATGAGTTATAGACTATAACAATTAAACTATGTATAAATATGTTTATATATGAGTTATAGACTATAACAATTAAACTATGTATAAATATGTTTATATATGAGTTATAGACTATAACAATTAAACTATGTGTAAATATGTTTATATATGAGTTATAGACTATAACAGTTAAACTATGTATAAATATGTTTAATGGTATGAAATCTTGGCATTATACAAATGTACATACATTGTAGGTGTCTAAAATCTATTTAAAATAAGATTACAATTTTTTTTTTTTTGTTTTATACGAAGTTGTAAATCAACCAACTTTCTATCATCATCAAGTCCTGTTCTATTTATATCACCCAATCAAACACCAGATGGAAGGCAAAAAAACTAAGACATCAACATTCTGCACATTTATATACCAAAAATAAGTCAAATTTGTTTCCGAAAAACGTACAATTAGCAAGAGGTATAACTATTATAACGGGTTGATGTGATGTGTGTACAAAGCTTCATGAAGATATCTTGAATAGCTTATGAAATATGATACCTTAAATCTATGTCAAATTTATTTCGATGGAATCACAACAATTTTAAAGGCACAACTACTTATACATGTACATGCAGGTTGATGTTTTTAAAAGTTTCATAAAGATCTTCTTTGATTGACATTTAGTAATTAACAAATTAACACAAGGTACAATTTTAATGATACACAATTTACTGAGTTTGAGACTAAGCGACGTTTCGACGAGTATACTCTCATCTTTATCAAGCAAATGATACAGGTATGTGATTTGTGTGTATCCATAAAATTGTACCTTTTGTTTCATAAAGATATCTTGAATGGTTTGCTCCTGTTACAAACCAGGACAGGCGATGGAAGTAAACACAGAAAGACGGACATACATGCATCTTTCCTTAACTTCATTGCAACCTTGTACCAAAATGGATAAATTTATTGGTCAATTAGTTCATATAATTTGAACTCTCACATCAAAGAAAACATGTCAGATGTCAATAGAGTTCAAGACTAAAAATAAACGAGCAACCAGATCGACACGTGATTTTAATCTGAATGAATATTAGATGAAACAGATGTATAATATTAATATAAAGCATGTTTATCAGGTATATCAGGTGTTTAGATCAACAGGTATATATATACCTAGTTATTATACCTGTATCAAATATTCTCTTGAAACAGGTCAAATATAAACCATACTTTATATCATGGATACATTATAATATTCTAGAAATATGGTCGAATATAAACAGTATTTTATATCATGGATATGTTATAATATTCTAGAAACATGGACGAATGTAAACAGTACTTTATATCATGGATACGTTATAATATTCTAGAAATATAATCAAATATTTCACAGCTCGGAATTTCAGGAAATGTTTAGGCAGATTATCCACGAATGGAAACAAGACAATAAGCCTACACTCATAGTTATATTTTAATAATCTTAAACATACATTATGCAAGAGCTAAATCTGCCTAATGCAGGTCTTTCTTTAGGCCTGAAATGTTATCTAAATTATTAATTAGACATTAATTAACTTATTCAAACCATAATAAACTCTCGATGGCATCGGATTTCTCCGATATTAAATAGATTAGAACAGTTCAGCCATATTTTGATTCAAGCTAAAAATGGAGGAGCAAGACTTAGCTTCAAACAATTAGTACGGTGGTTGAAATTATTTTACACGTTTTGTCAAACCTTCAAAGGCTAATATCTTCGCTCGCAATATAGTAATTTGAATGAAATTTACAAATTATTCATTTTACATTATCTTTTTTTGAACTATTTTAGCAAGAATGGCTCGCTCTTTATCTAAATCTTACATAATGTATCTTTAAGGGAAAGGTTATTTGTCGTAATCAGAGTATTTTGGGTTAGGGCAACTTTGTATAATCAACAAGTACAAGAAGTATTTAGTATAATCATTAAGAAGCCATTTAGCGATTGGGAAACAAATTAACAGAACACAATTTCTATGGAAAAATGATCACTAAAACTAGTGATTGCTTTTCCATAGAAATTGTGTTCTGTTAATGAGTGTTTAGTAGTTACAACGATCTAGGGTTAGAGTTAGGGTTAGTGTTAGGTCTTCAATGCTTCAAAGCATTTACGAGGTAATCTTTATTTGTAATCAGTGTGGCTACGAATAGTGTCTTAGAAATCTTAAATAAAACTAGTTCCTCCAAATTGGAAACGAAGAACGTTTGGTCGATAAATAAAATAAACTTACATCCAGTAGAAGTTTGACGACTTCAGTTTTACCAGAAAGAGCTGCTTCATGTAGACAGGTACCTTTAGGTGTTGACCTGTTCAAATCCATTCCTGCTTGTAACAATAATCTGAAAAACAAATAGTACCTTGTCTATATCGATAATGGAGATATCTTTATTGGCTCTAGGACAATTCATCCCTAAACAATTCGTCCTCAGACAATCTGTCCACAGGGGACGAATTGTCCAGGAACAAGTTGTCAGGGGACAAGTTTTCTGGGGACGAATTGTCATGTACCCATCTTGAATACCCTTGTATACTACAATATCAATAAAGTCATAGGTGAATCTGTGAAAGAGATGGCTCAATTAAATGAAATTCAGCATCCTCTGTCGGCAATGTAAACGGGATATGGTGAAGTTAAGACAAGACAACATCCCTTACAATTGTTGCTGAATCTACTGAGAGGTTTCTAATTATTCATATTGAATTCAAGTCAGGAGATTACCTACAGTTGGTTTGTTTTCTTAAAGGGGCATTATGTAAGATTAGATAAAGGGCTGACAGTTCTCGTTATAAATAGTTACAAAATAGATAATGAAAAGAGAATACGTTGAAAATTTCAGTCAAATTCACTTTGAAACGAGTTATCATCGTTAGAAGAACACTGTAGCCTTGATTATCCATTTCTTAATTTAATCATTAAATGGCCAAACTGTTCTAATCTACTTAAAATCGGAGCCATTTGATGTCATTGAGAGTTGATTATGGTCTAGATATGTTAATTAATGTCTAATTAATAGTTTATATAACATTTAAGGACTAAAGAAAGACCTGCAATAGGCAGATTTAGCTCGTGCATAATGTATGTTTAATAGTTTATATAGCATTTAAGGCCTAAAGAAACACCTGGAATAGGAAGATTTAACTCTTGAATAATGTATATTTAATAGATGTTAAATAATCCATATGAGTACATCATAGCATCATCAATTATATTGCCTGAAAAATGTATAGGGGCTTATCTCAGGTGTTATTTTAAAGGTAATCTAAATTAAAGTCTGTAAATTCAATCAAGTAGAATGGCATATCAGTACATGGACATCATACCAAATATTGTTAGACAATTTGAATTCCAGATGGTCATTGACTGGCAAATATCAATCAATTAAGAGCCCTTTTTTCTTTTATCCATTGCCCGATAATAACCTACCTTATCACATCAGCATGTCCATTTCTAGCGGCTAAATGTAGACAAGTCGTAGAAGAGTTATCTTTCATATCATTGGTCGTGTCCGTAATAATCTTCTCACATAAATTACTACGCAATAAAAGATCTACAACCTGAAATATAGGTAGTTAACGCTAGAATCAAATTTCAGAAAATGAAATTTAGAAAATAAATTTTTAGAAAATGAAATTTAGAAAATGAAATTTAGAAAATGAAATTTAGAAAATGAAATTTTAGAAAATGAAATTTCACAAAATGAAATTTCAGAAAATGAAATTTCAGAAAATGAAATTTCTGAAAATGAAATTTCAGAAAATGAAATTTATAAAATGAAATTTGATTAAAATCAGACTTTTTTCTAATCTATTTGTCCTGCATGGTTATTGATTTGTTGTTATTTTTGTCTATGTATCACTAGAAGAATGACCGGCTTCGCTCGGGGGTCATAACCCCAAAACCGGAAGTGGTAGACTAACGCCACCTGGCCTATGTTACTCCCCGGTCCGAGCTACCCCTATACCCCAAATTTCAGACTCGGGGCAGACCTAGTGTAGCCGCCAACCCCGAACAGACAGACAGACAAACAACAGGGACAAATACTAGAATAGATACATTGTATTTGATACATGTACTGTTCAAAGAATAGTCTTTGAACTAAGTTTTCTTCAATAACATAAGAAATATGTGTTATACATGTACATGTAGTTTTTTTTTTTGCTCTATTCAGTTACTAAATACCTTTAAAAAAAGATAATAATTCATTTTTATTTTCACTTGTTTTATATGTTACGGTGTTTTAATTAGAAGTTTTATCATTGTGTCATATTCTACAACGATCAATGAACAAGTTGCCTTTCCACTCATATCAAAACAAATTGTGTACACAAAAATCCATCAATTCTTTTCAAGGTTTTTATTATCCAGACATTTATTTAACGCTGTGATTTTGCTGAACACATCTTTAAAGAATTCGCCAACTGAATAATCAAAATGAAAATAACATCTACATGTAGCTTAGTTAGAGACCGACTCACACTTACCCTCATTCTGCCAAATTCGCACGCCAAATCAAGTGCTGTTTTCTTTTCTTTGTTTAAGATTGTTGGATCAGCATGATGTAATAATAATAAATTTACCTGAAAGAACAAATAAAATCTATATTAATATATTAAAATCAGATGATGCCATTGAACCGTCTCCTTTAGATTTACATTATATGTATTACATGTATTAAATGAACATTCTGTAAGAGCTAAATCTGCCTATTGCAGGTCTTTTTGGGGGACTGAAATGTTATACAAACTATTAATTAGACATTTATTAACTTATCCAGACCATAATCAACTCTCAATGGCATCAGCTGGGTCTGATACAACCGGGAAATTGAAACCACGCCAGTTGACTCAATGACAGATCGTATGATACAATGCACATGCGCTAACCATTCAGCCCCCCCCCCCTCAAATAATATATATTAATACATACCACATCAAAGTTTCCATGTTGACTAGCCAGGTGTAAAGGTGAATCTAAACTATTGGATTGTTCATTAACCGGAGAAGCTTTCTGTAATAACAGATTCACAGGTTCCACTTTACCTTGCCATGTTGCATAGTGTAGGGGAATCATTCCTAAAATATAAAAATACAGGTTGCCAGGGTAACCAAACACAACACAATTTATATGGAAAACAATCACTGGTATAATCAATGGGCTGAATTATGCGTTCTTGTTAATATGATTTTGAGGGAAAATTTCCCTTCTTTTGTTGCATAGAATGAAATGAAATGAAATTGGGTTTAACGTCCTACTGTTCTGCTACTGGGCTAATGAAGGGAAATTTTGCCCGGACGGTGACACTACAGATTGCTCTTATTTTGAATTCCAACTGTCAGGAATTCTTTTACGTGCCCTCCGTCCTACACCACTGACAAGGGGGAACCACCCCGGTAAAACCCTATGAACTTTCTCGGCCAACGCACGGATCGAACACGGGACTTCCAGTTTAGTGAGCCAACGTCTTACTCATTGTATCACTGTGGCTCCCGCTTAGAATGTAAAACCAAATGCCCACTTCAATATTTTATGTGTTGCAGTTCGGAGATGTCCAGGTTGGTGCAAACTTTAAAGAACCCTTGACAGTTGGAATTCACCGAAGGTCAAGTTGAAAAACAGCTGTCTTAGCAAAATATATCTCATAACAAAGAAAAGTAATAATTTTAATTACATGTACCTATCTGAGTTTTTTAAAAATTAACAGAATCTTTTGATTATCTATTTGAGTTAATTTAAAACATAAATAAGTCAACAAGAAGTTTAAACATACATTATGTAAGAGTTTAATCTGTCTATTGCAGGTTCTTTATTTAGGCCTGAAATGTTACCTAAATTATTAATTAGACATTAATTAACTTATCCAGACCATAATCGACTCTCGATGTCAACGCTAGCCTGCGATATTTACTGGATTAAAATTCAATTTGCTGCTCAACTTTCATTCATGATTAAATCATGAAATGGATAACCGAGACTATGTTTTTTATAATACCGACTTTAGTAATGATGATCGAGGCTATGCCAAAAATTCAATCACTAAATTCTCGGTTCAGGCTGGATTAATTTGACTGAAATTTCCAGCAAATTGCCTTTCCATCATTTAGTTGTTAACTATTGTAGTAAGAACTGCTAGTTCAGCATATTCACTTTACATTATCTAGTTTTGAACTATTGCAGTGAGAACTGCCAGCTTTTTATCTAATCTCCCATAATGTATCTTTAACCTACAGATTAAAATGTATACACAGACAAGGTTTATTTGAGGGTTTTTTTTATATACATTTAAAATTAAATAAATCTAATTTAAATAAGTAAACAAAATGTTTAACCTCTAATTTGAATAGGTAAACAAGATCATCATTACTAAAGTCGGTACGATGAAAAACATAGTCTTGGTCCTTGGTATCCATTTCATGATTTAATTATGAATGAAAGTTGAGCAGCAAATCGAATCATAATTAATCCACTAAAGAACGCAGGCTAGCGATGCCATCGATAGTTGATTATGGTCTTGGTAAGTTAATTAATGTCTAATTAATAATTTAGAAGACATATCAGGTCTAAAGAAAGACCTGCAATAGGCAGATTTAGCTCTTGCATTAATGTATGTTTAAATAAATGTAATTTAAATAAGTAAACAAGATGTTTAACCTGTAGATTATAGACAAGGTATATTTATAATAATGTACATGTATATTAATAATACTGTATATTAACCGGAAATAAATAAGATTATAATATTTTTTATCTAATCTCTAGTAGATATCTTATCCTGTGGGATTTTAAACTTTAAAACATAAATATAACTGGCTTATATCATATCAATCCTAATTACTTCACGTATCCTGTAAAAACAGGTGGACATTTTTATTACCAGAAATTAAAGAGACCACTCTTCTACTGTAGGTTGCCAGGCAACGAAACATATCAACCACAGACAATAAAATATTAATTGAAATAAATTCAATCTGTAAACCGGTATTAATTATATTGAGAGCTAATACAAACCTTTATTATCTCGTATGTCTGATGCTCCCCCATGTTCCAATAACATGGATATAACGGCTGTGTTACCCATGAGAGATGCTTGATGAAGGGCAGACATTCTGAAAAATAAAATGTTATAATGATAAAACTGATACCTTATTAACCATCAGATATTTGCTTCATTTGTTTCCATTTGTTTTCAAAATATATAGAGAAATGGGGTTTAACATTCACTCAACACAAATTAGGTCATTTCGGGACTTACACATGGTTCAATTTTATTTCAATAATTCGCTTGCGCATACATGTAGGGGTCTTTAGCAGTGGGAGGAATCCTGTCACGTACAACCAGGAAATTGAAACCATGCCAGTTGACTCAATGGCAGACCTTATCTTAAGGATGCACATGCTAACCATTCGGCCATCCACCCCCCCTCAATGACAGACCTTGTAATCTGAACGTGTATGCGTTAGACCACTTGATCACCCAACCCACCCCAATTGTTTTCAAGCCTTGAACTGTTGAGGAATGAAAAGATATTTTTCAATTGGTAATATTCGTTTTTGTCAATCAAACAGACGTACTGACACTTTAAAAATTAAGCTAAATTAAAAAAAAGTTTGGTAAACCGCCGGTATTTCCCAACATGCATTGGTTTATAAGAAACTATCTAATTTCTGTGAGGTTTTTAAGCTGACAGGCAATATTGAGATAATCCTAGCAGTAAAAAAAAGTCAGTTGCTTTAGTCCAGGTGATAATAATATTGAAGACAGTAGGAGTTGTCTCCCTTATATTGTAATTCAAACACCTTCTATTGATGCTCAATTACCACTCAAGTATAAATTTTCGTCACACAATTGTGATAAAATGTTGAAGATGACAGAATAAGTTGTCTACCATTTATTATAAGTTAAACACCATTTCAATTAAAAACAACAACATGAATTTGTACTGATCAATGTTCATGTAGAGAACAGGGCAGTGATAACAAAAATATTGGACCTGTTAGTAGGAGTTGTTCCCCTTTTATAACAATTTGAGCTTCAATCAATAGATTTTTTATCCAATAGATTGCTTTGTTTTAGTGATTTAAAATGAGGAAATTATATTTTCAATTGACATTAACACAGAAATTACTATCAATGATAATTTCTGAAGGTAAATCAAATTTAATGATCTGTATTTGTATATACAGGTGTGTACAGATGTATTTACAGGTGATATGACGATTTACCTGTACACGTGTACAAACACCTGTAAAACATAAATTATTGATCTAATTAAGTTTAAAGGAGCTAAATTGCTAATATTTGGGACCTACAAATTGACACAAATGGGTCGCAACGTATATAATAATGTAATATGAATGTAAATAAACTGATTTACATTCAATCGTTTCCGTTTTTACTCTAATTTCAAAGCAGTTACATGTATGTTCAGCGAAATACGCCAGAAGTCTCAATCCAATGGCAATCTCTAGCTACTGGTTATTCCAGTCTACACCGATAGTATTTATTGCGCATGTGGGGTCACCGTTTGACATGACTTGTGGAATATGTCTAACCTCGTTCTTCGAGTCGCTGAAACACATAATGGTACACAATTTGTGTACCAATCGTAAAATCTTTATTTTGTCTTAAATATTGGATATGATTTAAATTGACAAATAATTCGTGTTTTCATTGCCGACGGTTTTGGATGATATTCAGTTAGAGACTTAGCTACTTTAACATGTTGATTATTTTGTGAAGTGGGTATTTATCTACCTGTAAAAATTTTAGATCCACAGTTGGAGTCAATGTTGAGAATATTGTGTTCCACTGCTGACAGTTTCAGCCAAAACGGTAATAAAATTAGAAATTAAACTGACTTCAATTTCAATAGTAAAGTCTTATCGTACAGTACATGTCCCATCACAATTTAACACATCAGAAGCCCTATTCAATACTTTATTTCAATCTCAATCAAAGCGGTTTAGTTTCCCTGTGAGATTACAAACGAAATAAAATTTCACGTCTTCCATTTCAGCACCAGCAACGCAAATGAAGATGGGCATATATACATTGTACATGTACATATAAATAAATTATTTTTTAAAGAATAAAAGCATCAAATTAAATCAGTTTTATCATCTACGCCATCGCCATATTTACATGTATTGAATTTTTATATTGTATTTTTTGATAACAAATGAAACAGCTTTTGATGTATTTCCATATAAATTTATTAAAAGTTTTCGAAAATATTGATAATTTTCATCTTTCAATAACCACTCATAATTAAATTTATTTATCTTCTGACAAAAATTTCAAGAATTCTCAGGAGAATTGATTCTTTTAAGTTTTCAGTTACTAAATTCAATTTGACATTTTTCTGGTATGAAAAAAATAATGTCTATTTTATATGTTGAAATTTTATTATAATTCAAAGCAAAAAAAATAGGAGGCTGTGTAACATTTTATATCATAGATGACTGGTTATAATTTAATTAAAGTCAACTGAATGAAAATTTTAAGATAATTATGGAAGATAATTTACAGAAATTAAAGAGACATTCTACGTAAAGGGAGCGAGTGAGTTTTTGTTTTTTTGTCCTTTTTGTATGTGGTTTAACGTCCTACTTTTCTGCCCATACCAGGCTAATGAACATATGCATACACCATACAGCAATTGAATTCCAACTGTCAATGGGTTTTTTTTTTCTGTCCTATCCGAACAATGGGTTTAACGTCCTACTGTTCTGCAGTGACTGGGCTAATCACTGACAAGAGGAAACTATGCCTAGCAGTGAAAGGAAACAAGATTATTTGAGAAAACCCAAGATAATGTTTAAAGTGAAATGTCACATGAAATGACTTTTGGCAGAATGTTAGTGTATATTTTCACCACACTTTTTTTTTTATTTTATGAAGTACTTGTAGGTTACTCATTTTGTTGTGTCTTAACATGCACTTGACACAAGTAAGGTCATTTTGGGACTAACACATGGTTCACTTGTATTTCAATACATGTAATTCACTTGCGCTAAGGGGGAAACCAGAAGATACAAAGACAACTGACGAGTTTGGACTACAACCCAATACCAGCTGGGAATTGAAACCATGTTACCTGACTCAATGACAGACCTTATGATCTAACATGCACCCAACCCCTGTATATACATGTATATCAATATGTCTAATAACAAGAGATACATGTACATGTAGATATATAGGTCGGTCATAATTCAATGAGTATTCATCTAATCTATACAACATATTCTATCAACCATATCTCACATCTTGAATCATTATACAATACAATTTTACAATTCTTCTTCTCTACATCTACCTGTATGTATGTATGTACGTATGTATGTCATGGGTGGGAAAAAAATGAAGTTATCTAATCTTTTTTTTCTTTTTTTATAAACAATATAAATACATGTGTAAATAAACTAGGTTAGATGGAGAACAGACAAGGCCAACTTAAAGATACATTATGGGAGATTTTTATAGAGATGATGAAAGAAGAATATATTGAAAAATTCAGTCAAATTACTTTATTCTGAACATAGTTATCATCGTTGTAATATTTGCCTAGAAATGGTAGCGAAATGTGTCTTCACCTTCGCCGAACGTTTGATTGACAGGCGTTAACTCCACCTACATATCTCGATTATCAAGTAAAGTTTTCAATGGCATACGGAAACGCTTTACAGCGGCCTCGCTAAGTACACTCTATCATTTAGCCTCGATCTAACTGACGTATTTTCATCAGGTTACCCCTTATTTGATTTAATCAATTAGTGAAATCCTATTTAAATCCGAGCTGTAGCTGAGCCATCCGTGGGTCTACAGAGTTGATTTTGGTCTTGTTGTTTAAATAAAGATGTAATTTATAATTCCTATAACATCTGAAGCCTAAATTAAGACTTGCAATAATCAGATTTAGCTCTTGTAAACTTAGCCTATGCTGCTTATTTAAACATACATTATACAAGAGCTAAATCTGTCTATTGCAGGTCTTTCTTTAGGCCTGAAATGTTATCTAAATTATTCATTAGACATTAATTAACTGATCCAGGCCTTAATCAACTCTAGATGGCAATGCTAGCCTGCGATGTTTCTTGGATTAGGTTCTGATTTCCTGTTCGACTTCCATTCATAATTTAATCATGAAATGGATAATCGATACAATGTTTTTATCATATCGACTTTAGTAATGATGATCAAAACTATGTTGAAAATTCAATCGCTAAAATCTCGGTTCATAGTGGATCAATTTGACTGAAATTTTCACATTTCACATTGCCTTTACATTATCTAGTTTTTAACTTTTATAGTGAGAACTACCAGCTCTTTATCTAATCTCCCATAATGATTCTTTTACTCTGTTTTTAATATAATATAATTTAGGGCTGTTGTTTTAGTGATACATGTAATTCACAGTCTTTACTGATTGGCAGTGTAATTTGACTGTCTGTAGAAATCAGTCTGTCAGTCAAATTACATGTACAAGTCATTAAATTAGAATTTCATAGAATCAACCATAAAGCACAATGCTCACACTTAAATTCATAGCCTTTTTGCATAAAAAAACCTTTAAAACTACATGTACATGTACATGTATTTATGCAAACAAATAGGGATAATGATAAAAATTGTCATAATCTTTGGAAAATATATCTTAGGCATGACAGCTTCAAAATCAAGGTGTGATTAGAGCTATGTCTCTCCAGTTAGATGGGTTGCAATTCAGCCCAGCAATTTTTTTTTATCCTCAGAAGCATGAGTTTCTTCAGGTAATTGTTAGATAGTTTTTGATAATTACATATCTTGAATTCAATCTTATTACATTTAATTACTGGCGGAACCTACATGTATGCTTCAGTCGTCATGTTTAATAAATGACATTTACAAAGCAATTACATGTATCTTGTGTTTGTTATTAAGGGTAGGAAGAATATCGTGATAATCGTAGGTTCATATATGATTATGATTGAAGTACCTCAAAAAAATAACCAGTCAGCTAAATTTTCAAGTGTAAGCTTAAACGTGCAACATGAAGAAATCATAATTTAGTGCAAACTTGTTGAAATGGTGAAATCATCTATAATATACATGTTTATATATTCT